TTAAAAAAGAGCCATGAAGAAGAAAAAGAAATTGCAGAATGTCCAGATCAGAAAGAAAAAGATGAAGCCAGTAACTCCAGACTTTCAGATGAAGACGAAGATCCACATGAAGAAGGATACAATAATTCAAATAGTGGAATGTCATTTTCATCAGTGGCACGTCATAATCTCAGTACATAATCAGATCCTCAATAATGCAGAACAAGACAAAAGTGATGGAAGAAAAGAAGGAAAAGCTGAAGATTCTTATCACAATACTATAGATCTTTTGATTATTTTCAAAAAAGATGTCAGAAACTTTTAGAATTTTAAGCAAATTAGTGAAAATTTCAAGATTCCTAAACTATAGACTTTTAGACTTTTGTAAAAGTAGGAAATTTTCTTTCCACTTGTTAGACTTATCCTGAATTAGCCAGAAGTTTTTCGGTGAAACGTGTGCTCTTTTCAAGGATATTTTAGACTTTTTGCTCCCAAGAATTTTTCTATTTAAAGAACAAGTTTCATTTGGTTTAGGCAGAAGTTTACAACCTGTGTACTCTCTGCTATCCAAAAACCTTTTGAAACATTTCTCAGAAAAATTCTCAATCCAAAAAATCATTGTATAGCTGAATCATCCTTGTGAATACTTAAGGTATTATTGTATTTCTTTAAGTTTATTTTAGAACTTTAGGGACTTCCCGAAAGGGAAATCCTTAGTTGTAAATCTTTTTAAAAGATGAATTTATAAATCTCTGATTTATGTTTTATTAGTTTATGTTCATATTTTTGTATTTATGTTTTAAGTAAATATCTGTTATGTTTATCATTTCATCCTATGCATATAATAAAAGTATAACTTGATTTCTAGAAGCCATACTATTTTTAGGTTAATCCCGAGTAACCCAGATGAATGAAAACTTTTGGCCGGAGTGAACCTTTTTGATGTTTTCTAGAGATGATGGGGAAAGGGAAAAAATTAATCTAAAAATTTTATAAGAGAGTGCCACGGGTAACCTTATAAAAAGAAATCAGGTTCAAGTTTATATGTCATAGGTGGTGAAAATTTAAATAAAAAAAAAAAGAAAAAAAAAGGGGATTTATACACGATTCTTAAGAAAGATTTATAGAAAACTAAGGAGAGTACTGAGTAGGATTGAAACTATTAAAAGTTAAACAGCCATCTTAAAACAATTTAAGGTATTATTGTATTTCTTTAAGTTTATTTTAATACTATAAATAAAAGAACTCTTAGAATTAGGAGTTATTACAAATATTTATATATATATATATATAATTCTGTATTTTTTTCTCTCACACAAAGTTGCACAAGTATAACAGTTTTAGGGTTTTTAAATTCATCTTTTGTTCTTAAAATTTACTATTTTTATTTAGGGCTTCTACAAACCTCAATTCTCATACTCGCATGTTTTTTCCCCAAACCCTAGCTTGAGAAGAGATGTGATTTTTGGTGACCGACCGACGATTTCGAGCAAGAATAATACTACTGTTCAAAATCCCTACTAGGTTTGCCTTTTTGGAAATCTTGGATAAAAGCAAGCTATCCAAAGTTGAGGTATTTTTGTTTGTAATTTTTTTCCTAATTCTGCTCTCCCTTTTTTTTCTATTGTTGTACTTCATAATTCAATTTTTTATTTTATGCACGAGTCATTTTGAATTGAGAATGGAATATTTCTTCACTTGATTTCAGGATTTTTGGAAGGAATTCTCTACTATAGATTTAACTGCATAGGTCATTTTTCTATATCCATCTATATGTGTACCTTTTAATTTTGCATTGAATTTGTTAATGCCGCAGGAAAAAAAATGAAGTTACTTGTAGGCTTATTTCCTATTATAATAGCATATATGTGGTTGTCATTTATTATTATTATTTTTTTGCATTAGCAGATTGAATATTTTCTTTCATCGTTTAACAACTTCATCTTCAGCCAATGGAAAAATAATAAAAGATGGAGAAAGAATGCATGAGCTCTCTTAAGTAAAATTGGCATATTTGCAGTACGATTGGCAACATTCTATTTGTTGATGGGCTTCCAAATGATTGTACAAGAAGAGAAATAAGTCGTATCCTTGCTATTGTATTGATGTTATTGCTTTTCTTTGTCTCCTTCTATTATTTGTCAGGGTTTGTTTATGTAAACGGTACCTACATTTATTCTACAACATGTTTAGGAATCACTGTCGGTATTATTCTCTGTATATATCCGTGATGCTGGATTTGGGGAGTACGACATTGATGCTGCTTGGCTAGGCAGAAAAAGGACTGCTTTGACTTCACTTTTTGTGGCAAATGTATTTCGAACCAAAGATCTTCATATTGTGATGATGTTCTTGATATTACTGTCGTTGGTAATCATATTTTGCTCATGTTTGACGGTATATTATTTACATTAATTTCTGATGATCCTTTCTTATAGTATTGATTACATTCTATAATCTTTAGATTTATTTTCATTTATGTGACAAAAATCCTACTGCTTTACCTATTGTTAAGTCATGTAGGTCCTTATGATATTTAATTTATGGGAGATAATTTAACAAGGTTACTTGATTTATAAATAGTTGCCCAATGTCATCATAGTTAATTGATAATAAATTACTTCTGATGAATTTTTGTTGATGTAGTTGACTGTACAAAAAGTTATATGTAGTTTTTCTTCATTTTCCTGTTGTTCTACTTAATAGAGAAGCTGTGGTGTTTGAATCTTTTTTTTTTTTTAATATCATCATGAAAAACTTAGAGTTACACTTTACTTCAGCAACTGGTATATTGGTTTTAATGAACAATCATATAAAAACCTGATTTTAATAATTAAGTACCTCCAATTTTTGTTCGACCGAAGGAGACACTGTCCTTTTAATGTCCTGCTCCATCTTTTTGTGTTTTTATGTATATGGTTGGGAATCCAAACCCTCACCAACGTTCGTGGCACCTGAAAACCCTGTTAAAGTAGTGTTGGTGTTTTGCTTAAAAAAAAATAAAGAACTCAAATATGCATCAGAGAAATGGCAACAGCTTCAATTTTTTGAATAGTCATTCTGATTTCAAATGTTTTTTCACGTCATGTCACCAATCAAGCAAAAATGGTTGAAAAGATTAGATTCATTTTCAAGATTACAATGTGTATAAAATAACTATTTGTTTAATGCTCACCGACACCACTCATATGTTAACTGGGGTTTCTCAGGTGATGACAATTTCTGTAGCAATGGATGAATTTACATTAGGGTGCAAAATCAAATAGCATTTGTATTCAATGGTAAGTTTGCATCATTTTATTGGAAAAATCTACTTTCACTCTTCTATTAGCTGAAGAATTCTAAACTTCGCGTAAAGATTGATCTGTTGGAACTTTATTTATACTTCACATCAGATTGTCATAGATACAGCTTTACCTTTCAGCAGCAATAATCACAGTACAATTCTATGGGTCAAATCAATTGCCATGACATCATGTAAGTAATTTTTTTTTCCTTTTCAACTTCAGTACTTGCTATCTACCCCTCCAATATTCAAAATTTATTATGGCATTTCCATTGGACATTTTGTCAAAACTAATGGAGGGATACATTAACTGTTAAACCTTTGTTCTCCAGGTTACTCTGTTCCTTAGAAGGTTGTTATCAGAAATCTTATAGTGAGTTGCTGGAACATGTTGATGGCATTGAGGGGAATGTTCAGTTTCTAAACTTTGCCTATTCTATTTCTGCAGTTACTGGGAGCGGCTTGATCAAGGTTATGTTTATTCAGCTGTTATATATATATATATATATTTTTTTTTTTTTTTTTTAAGTGTATAGTTGCTTTTCATATTTAACACATGCATCAGTTTTGTACATCATCACTTGTATGTCAGGAAAGTTGATAATAAAACATATTAATTGAGACTCATTATTTCTGGCTTCTTGCATTGACTTGATTTTTACCCACAGAAATTTCCATGTTATAGAGCTTGGTTCATTATTCCTACATAATGTGGCATGGTATTTTGTGAGTTTTATTCTTATAATTCCTTTTTATTAATGTTGATTAGATTACAAAATAGTTTAGTTATTTGCAGGTCTTTCGCACTGTTTTTATTGTGGTTTAATGTGATTATCCATAATTAATGCAGAAAATTAGGACTCTGGAGCTAGATGGGAAGATAATTAAGCTTCAAATTGTGAGTTAATTTGACTTAATGACTACTCCATAGTTATGAACATGAGTTAATTTGATCTAATGAATACTGTATCGTTGTGAATTTATAAAAACATGTATATGAATATTATTTTAGCTGTATGTGCTATTCCTTTATGATGGTTTTGCTACCTGTAATATGTGCTTCATGCAAATAAGTATCGGAAAAAGAAATCAACAGCTCTTAGTTACTCTTTTTCTCAAATGATACTACTTGTGTCAAATTGAAATGCTAACAGAAATATTTTATGGCACCTGGATAGTCTTACATAGGTTCAAGTGTAGAAATTAATTTTAAATTATATCTTTACTAATTTCTATGATGTTACGTTCTTCTGCTGATATTTGTTGATTACAGGAGACTTGAGGGGTGGATTGGTCTCTGTTTGATATGGAATGTTAGGATCTAAATTGACAGTCGAGGGATAAAGTTTCTGACGACAATTTCAATAGCTGTGTCTACATACTTTCTGACTGTAGGGAAAATAGCTATATTTGGTGCACACGTCTTATCCGCTAACGAGTTGAGATCAGACTACGACCTCTTTTCCTTAGAAAAAAAAAGGAAATAGTTTATATAATCTAATTTAATTGTCATTCAAAATAGGTCTCATTTTTCATTCAAATACTACATAACCAAATTATGACACTATTACTTACACTACATCACTCACGAAATTTTGCAACAAACTAGAAGGTTATGAGATATTTTACAAAATAGATAAATGTCAGGAGTACCAGGTCAACTATCCTAAATATTGTGCTTGGCTAATAAAATTTTATTACTTTTCAACCAATTCGTAGAACTTTCATCAACTTTTTAATCATACATTTCATCAACTTTTATTAAAAACTTTGTCAAAAATGTCAGTGGATTTTATATAATATCAGTCAAAAGGTTGGAACACTTGGATCCCAACTCAAAGTTGATTTTATATAATATAAGTTGATTTTATATAATGTCAAAAGGTTGGAACACTTGGATCCCAACTCAAAGTTCCCCTTTAACAGTTCAAATACCTCAAGAAGCTCTGTGTTAACCATGATTCGTGTGTCGTCGTAAATAAACTATTAAGACATTCTTTTAGTGGAATAGTGGATGCAAGAGAGCTGCCTTTCTTGAAGTTTGCACTGGCTTTAGTGGAATAGTGGAATAGTAAATAAACCCTAAATATTGTGCTTGGCTGATAAAATTTTATAACTCTTCAATTAATTCATAGAAGTTTCATCAACTTTTCAATCATATATTTCATCAATTTTTATTAAAATTTTTATCAAAAGTGGCAAAAATGTTAGTTTTTAATATGGAATTATTTTCTATGCTATTTTATTTTTTTCTCGATAATTAATAAATCAAGATATGACTACAATTTTGAAAAAGAGTTTTATTTACCTCAACAAATTGACCGCTTCAATGCATTATCATCGGCATCATAAAATAAATCATGGGATGTGCTAAAGGCCCAAAACTGAGTTGTAGGGATGGCAATAGGTCGAACCGAGTCGGCTTAACCCTTTAACCCACGAGCTCGGCTCGGACTCGTGGCAAGCCGAGCTCGGCTCGTTGAACGAGCTCGTGAGCTCACAAGCCACGAGCTCAAGGGCTGAGCCGCTCGAGAGCTCGTGATTTTTTAAAAAAAAATTGTAAATTTGCACATTTTAGACCTTTTTTTAAAAAAAAAATCATTTTTTTTGACGAGCCCACGAGCCGTCGTCAAAATGGCTCGTGGGATTGAGCCCTTGCCCGGCTCCGACTCGTCATTTGACGAGCCCGAACTGCCGACGAGCCGGGCGGTCGAGCCAACGAGCCGTTCGGCCCATTTGACATTCCTACAGAGTTGTACACTGTTATAAATGATGACGGTAGTTTTACACTTTACCATTAATTTTAACTATAAATTTTATGAGATTCATAATTTTTTTTAAATTTTTTTAACACACATTAATCATCTTTTATTAAAATGAGCTTGACCAAGAGAGCCTGATAATTACTTCAATTTTTCTGTTAAAATACTATTTTATTTAAAAAATGCAAAAACAAATTTAATGGTTCATGTGGAGTTTGGGTTTCGGGTTTGTGCCCGGTCAAGCTGGCCCGGCCTATTTGATACCCAAATGAGCTTCAGTTTGATGGTCATTATAAAGAGAAATTGGGATAATAATGTCTTAAATAGTGAGCTTTTGTAGAATGTGGTTAAAAAAGTAGAGAAAAGGTTCGAGTTTAAGTGCAAAATATTTTGTTATATGAATGTGTGAATAAAAATGAGTATGAGAAATAAAGAGAGTCTAACAAGAACTAAATTAAATTCAACAGTAACACGGAGTTGCAAACCAGTTAACCGTAAAAGAGGGGTTTTCCCTCTGATTGCATAAGATAAGCGTTTAGCATCTTGCCTTTTTCTTTTTCTTTCGTTAAAGCAAGTTATTGCTTGGAGAATTTTGGATATTACAGGATGAATTATAAGTGCACGTCTGATATAGACTAAAGTACACATAATAAACAAGATTCCGACTACGAGTCCATCATAGGTAAACAAGCCATAGAGGGTATGCATAAATGCGGGTAAAATCTTTGATATTTCCAAATTTTAGAATATAATATCTCGCCATCAAGATCAAATAAGATTCCTCGTAAATATGATGACAAATTAGAATGTATCGGGAAAATGAAAATTTTGGCCAAAGGGTGTTGGGGCTGGGGGAGTACAGGAGGGAACTTCTGTAGTACAGTAATCAGATTCCCCTTTGTGTTCCAATGTTGGCAGAGCAAGTTAAAGCCAATATGGTACCTTGATGACCTCTAGCAATTGTAGGCAGCTAAAGCAATCACAATCCCGACGATCTGTTGGCATACTCCTGAACCAATGCCCCGAATAGTGAGGGCCTCTCGAGCAAACTAGATGGACTATCGAACTCCTTCGCCCATCCTGTAAAAACATAACAATGCAAAAATGCAGTGCATAAGAATCAAAATGGTTATAATCACTAAGATAATACAGTAATAGAGCATTTGCAGTTCTTGGAGCATGGTTTTGGCTAAGCTTAAAAAGTTACTTACGAGGAATAAGCAAGTTCTACAATGGAAAAAAATTGGGAATGATGGTAATAAAGTAACAAAGTGAACAACTGACCGTCATCTATAACCAACACTCTGTCGCAGTCTATAACAGTTGGTATTCTGTGAGCTATAGTAATAATCGTGCAAGCTGAGAATTCCTGACGGATGATTTTCTGAATGATGACATCGGTTTGAGAATCAACGGATGCTGTTGCTTCATCCATAAACAAAACCCTGCTGCGTTTCAGCATGACTCGTCCCAAGCATAGAAGCTGTCTTTGTCCCACACTCCAGTTATCTCCGGAGTCAACCACTGTGAAAGAAATGTGCTGGTACGTGTTAGTTACATAGATATGAATCATTCGTAGAAATTAAAATGAAAACTAATGAAAAATGGTGGGGACCTAAAGCATCGAGTTTTTCAGGTTTTGCTGACACGACATCTTTCAGCTGGCAGCGTTCAAGACTCTAGAATGATACAGAGAAAACAAAGAAACATTAGTCAGTAAAACCAAAAGTAACTCAGTTCTAGACATCATAATAAAGATGGAGTTTATAATGTTATGTATGTATTCCTAATTTCGAGCATCAATGAGCTAGCAAAACTTCGAAAAATGTGAGTCAAACACACAGAGTTATTCACCTTTATCGTGAGAGCTAACAGACATTCCAACATATCATTTACACACTTTATAAATGGAATCATACCTTCCATATTTCATCATCAGAATACAACCCAAGGGGGTCTATATTGCTTCTAACAGTTCCCTCGAAGAGGACAGGTTCCTGAGGGATGATTCCAAAACGAGACCTAAGATCATGAAGGCCGAGCTTGCATATATCGACCCCATCAATTATTATCTTCCCACCATAAGGTTCTACCAACCTAAAGAACACTTGGATCAAAGTCGACTTTCCACTTCCAGTTCGACCAACAACACCAATTTTCTCCCCTCCATGGATGCTGAGAGATATTCCTTTCAATACCAAAGGAGTATTTGGCCGATACCTAACCTGCTCAAATTTACGGCAGTTTTTGTCACAAATAGAGATGCTGAAACATATATCCACCACTCCAGACTGCATGTTTGTCTAAGCTTAAAAATAGAAAACTTTTTTTGAAAGTAAGGAATCCTGCCAAAAAAGTAATTGTTATCAGAAATCTTATAGTGAGTTGCTGGAACATGTTGATGGCATTGAGGGGAATGTTCAGTTTCTAAACTTTGCCTATTCTATTTCTGCAGTTACTGGGAGCGGCTTGATCAAGGTTATGTTTATTCAGCTGTTATATATATATATATATATTTTTTTTTTTTTTTTTTAAGTGTATAGTTGCTTTTCATATTTAACACATGCATCAGTTTTGTACATCATCACTTGTATGTCAGGAAAGTTGATAATAAAACATATTAATTGAGACTCATTATTTCTGGCTTCTTGCATTGACTTGATTTTTACCCACAGAAATTTCCATGTTATAGAGCTTGGTTCATTATTCCTACATAATGTGGCATGGTGGCCATTGAAATTTACATGCTAACTAACCTTGGTATTCTATCTGAAATTATTCAGGTTGAAGGTCATGGTATTAGCAGTAGCTTCTTTCCGGTCATGGTTGCTGAGGACGATGTTTGCACTGAGATCTGTACGTTTGAGAGTGAAATAGAATTGGCTATGACAGATCCATTCCCTTGAGGCACTGAGAAATTAGAAGTACACCAACAAGCCATGGATTACATCCATGATATGGGACTGCTTCTTTTGAGAAATACTTTGATGTCTAGGTTGGAACACTTGGATCCCAACTCAAAGTTCCCTTTTAAACAGTTCAAATACCTCATGAAGTTCTGTGTTGACCATGATTCCTGTGTCTTTGTAAATAAACTCTTAAGACATTCTTTTAGTGGAATAGTGGATGCAAGAGGGCTGCCTTTCTCGAAGTTTGCACTGCAAGAGATTGCCTCCTTCACTGAGTGGGCGAATTTATCGATGAAACAGATTAAGAAGCAAGCAAAAATTATTATAGCTTATTGTTCTTGTTATGACGAGTGTCGTCAAGGGCAAGCTATTTATTCTTTGCCTTACAGAGGCTACAATTTTGTCCTCCCAAAAGGACTTTGACATATTTATTTTCTGATTTCCTCCATATTTGCAGTAGAGAAACAAAATTTCCAATATCTAAATTTTTGGTTTTCTATCACAATTTTCATATATATGCATTTGTTCTTCATATCAGCTGATGATAATTTTGTATGTTAAATACTCTCTTCGCTTTCCAAAAACTTATTCTATGTACATCTCTCTCGTGAATTCTAAATACTTAACACACTAATATTACTTCATACAAATTAAAATTCATATATATATATAACTGTTTTAATCAATATGCACCTTTTAAACAAATTCGAGTCATGGATGCAATTAATTTTTTTTAAATTTTCTTCTTTCGTAGTTTCGCTATTTACTAGGAAAAAGGATGAAAATATTGTATTCCGTAATGTTAGTAATTTAAGAAATTTTGCAACAAACTAGAAGGTTATATGAGATATTTTACAAAATAGATAAATGTCAGGAGTACCAGGTCAACTATCCTAAATATTGTGCTTGGCTAATAAAATTTTATTACTTTTCAACCAATTCATAGAACTTTCATCAACTTTTTAATCATACATTTCATCAACTTTTATTAAAAACTTTGTTAAAAATGTCAGTGGATTTTATATAATATCAGTCAAAAGGTTGGAACACTTGGATCCCAACTCAAAGTTGATTTTATATAATATAAGTTGATTTTATATAATGTCAAAAGGTTGGAACACTAGGATCCCAACTCAAAGTTCCTCTTTAACAGTTCAAATACCTCAAGAAGCTCTGTGTTAACCATGATTCGTGTGTCGTCGTAAATAAACTACTAAGACATTCTTTTAGTGGAATAGTGGATGCAAGAGAGCTGCCTTTCTTGAAGTTTGCACTGGCTTTAGTGGAATAGTGGAATAGTAAATAAACCCTAAATATTGTGCTTGGCTGATAAAATTTTATAACTCTTCAATTAATTCATAGAAGTTTCATCAACTTTTCAATCATATATTTCATCAATTTTTATTAAAATTTTTATCAAAAGTGGCAAAAATGTTAGTTTTTAATATGGAATTATTTTCTATGCTATTTTATTTTTTTTCTCGATAATTAATAAATCAAGATATGACTACAATTTTGAAAAAGAGTTTTATTTACCTCAACAAATTGTCTGCTTCAATGCATTATCATCGGCATCATAAAATAAATCATGGGATGTGCTAAAGGCCCAAAACTGAGTTGTAGGGATGTCGAACCGAGTAGGCTTAACCCTTTAACCCACGAGCTCGGCTCGGACTCGTGGCAAGCCGAGCTCGGCTCGTTGAACGAGCTCGTGAGCTCACAAGCCACGAGCTCAAGGGCTGAGCCGCTCGAGAGCTCGTGATTTTTAAAAAAAAAAAAATTGTAAATTTGCACATTTTAGACCTTTTTTTTAAAAAAAAAAATCATATTTTTTGACGAGCCCACGAGCCGTCGTCAAAATGGCTCATGGGATTGAGCCCTTGCCCGGCTCCGACTCGTCATTTGACGAGCCCGAACTGCCGACGAGCCGGGCGGTCGAGCCAACGAGCCGTTCGGCCCATTTGACATTCCTACAGAGTTGTACACTGTTATAAATGATGACGGTAGTTTTACACTTTACCATTAATTTTAACTATAAATTTTATGAGATTCATAATTTTTTTTAAAATTTTTTAACGCACATTAATCATCTTTTATTAAAATGAGCTTGACCAAGAGAGCCTGATAATTACTTCAATTTTTCTGTTAAAATACTATTTTATTTAAAAAATGCAAAAACAAATTTAACGGTTCATGTGGAGTTTGGGTTTCGGGTTTGTGCCCGGTCAAGCTGGCCCGGCCTATTTGATACCCAAATGAGCTTCAGTTTGATGGTCATTATAAAGAGAAATTGGGATAATAATGTCTTAAATAGTGAGCTTTTGTAGAATGTGGTTAAAAAAGTAGAGAAAAGGTTCGAGTTTAAATGCAAAATATTTTGTTATATGAATGTGTGAATAAAAATGAGTATGAAAAATAAAGAGAGTCTAACAAGAACTAAATTAAATTCAACAGTAACACGGAGTTGCAAACCAGTTAACCGTAAAAGAGGGGTTTTCCCTCTGATTGCATAAGATGAGCGTTTAGCATCTTGCCTTTTTCTTTTTCTTTCGTTAAAGCAAGTTATTGCTTGGAGAATTTTGGATATTACAGGATGAATTATAAGTGCACGTCTGATATAGACTAAAGTACACATAATAAACAAGATTCCGACTACGAGTCCATCTTAGATAAACAAGCCATAGAGGGTATGCATAAATGCGGGTAAAATCTTTGATATTTCCAAATTTTAGAATATAATATCCCGCCATCAAGATTAAATAAGATTCCTCGTAAATATGATGACAAATTAGAATGTATCGGGAAAATGAAAATTTTGGCCAAAGGGTGTTGGGGCTGGGGGAGTACAGGAGGGAACTTCTGTAGCACAGTAATCAGATTCCCCTTTGTGTTCCAATGTTGGCAGAGCAAGTTAAAGCCAATATGGTACCTTGATGACCTCTAGCAATTGTAGGCAGCTAAAGCAATCACAATCCCGACGATCTGTTGGCATACTCTTGAACCAATGCCCCGAATAGTGAGGGCCTCTCGAGCAAACTAGATGGACTATCGAACTCCTTCGCCCATCCTGTAAAAACATAACAATGCAAAAATGCAGTGCATAAGAATCAAAATGGTTATAATCACTAAGATAATACAGTAATAGAGCATTTGCAGTTCTTGGAGCATGGTTTTGGCTAAGCTTAAAAAGTTTACTTACGAGGAATAAGCAAGTTCTAAAATGGAAAAAAATTGGGAATGATAGTAATAAAGTAACAAAGTGAACTACTGACCGTCATCTATAACCAACACCCTGTCGCAGTCTATAACGGTTGGTATTCTGTGAGCTATAGTAATAATCGTGCAAGCTGAGAATTCCTGACGGATGATTTTCTGAATGATGACATCAGTTTGAGAATCAACGGATGCTGTTGCTTCATCCATAAACAAAACCCTGCTGCGTTTCAGCATGACTCGTCCCAAGCATAGAAGCTGTCTTTGTCCCACACTCCAGTTATCTCCGGAGTCAACCACTGTGAAAGAAATGTGCTGGTACGTGTTAGTTACATAGATATGAATCATTCGTAGAAATTAAAATGAAAACTAATGAAAAATGGTGGGGACCTAAAGCATCGAGTTTTTCAGGTTTTGCGGACACGACATCTTTCAGCTGGCAGCGTTCAAGACTCTAGAATGATACAGAGAAAACAAAGAAACATTAATCAGTAAAACCAAAAGTAACTCAGTTCTAGACATCATAATAAAGTTGGGAGTTTATAATGTTATGTATGTATTCCTAATTTCGAGCATCAATGAGCTAGCAAAACTTCGAAAAATGTGAGCCAAACACACAGAGTTATTCACCTTTATCGTGAGAGCTTACAGACATTCCAACATATCATTTACACACTTTATAAATGGAATCATACCTTCCATATTTCATCATCAGAATACAACCCGAGGGGGTCTATATTGCTTCTAACAGTTCCCTCAAAGAGGACAGGTTCCTGAGGGATGATTCCAAAACGAGACCTAAGATCATGAAGGCCGAGCTTGCATATATCGACCCCATCAATTATTATCTTCCCACCATAAGGTTCTACCAACCTAAAGAACACTTGGATCAAAGTCGACTTTCCACTTCCAGTTCGACCAACAACACCAATTTTCTCCCCTCCATGGATGCTGAGAGATATTCCTTTCAATACCAAAGGAGTATTTGGCCGATACCTAACCTGCTCAAATTTACGGCAGTTTTGTCACAAATAGAGATGCTGAAACATATATCCACCACTCCAGACTGCATGTTTGTCTAAAAGCTTAAAAATAGAAAACTTTTTTTGAAAGTAAGGAATCCTGCCAAAAAAGATTGATTTTGTACTGAAACTCCAAAAACAAGTTAAATATCAAATCATGGAACTGGTTTATATCCTCGACAGAAGATTTAAGAACAA